ATAAGTAGGTACAATCTTAGGAATGCAGGCGATTTCTCCTTACCAAAATACAACACGGTTACATACGGAAGACATAGCTTAAGGTACATGGGACCTTATATTTGGTCGAAGCTCCACAAATCAATCAAAATGGCTGACTCTCTAACTGCATTTAAAAATCAAGTCAGAGTCCTTGACCTATCAAATGTTATATCGAAAAATAATTGTGAAAATTGTGAGTTATGTAAAACTTAATATTATCAATTTTATATTGTTTGTATATAGTTTTTCTTCTTATTATTATTATAATTATTAGTTTAGTTTATGCAGTAGGTGTCCCCAATTAGTTTTTACTTGTAAAAACTAGAACGATTGACTCGTTAATAAAGTTATTCATTCATTCATTGTGAATTTACTTACCGTTAACAATGTGATTCAGCATTGCATACGAAATCTCTCTAAATTTTTTTTTTAAAAGAACGTGATGTTGCTTTACTTTGCCATTTTGTCAACAACAAAAAAAAGATAAAACCGGTAGGAAGGAGCAGTGTAGATGGGATCGTAAGCCAGGGTTGGAGTTTCCCTCTGAAGTTTAATGCTATTCATGACGTAATCAACCAGACACTAACATGCAAATAAGGAAAAACGTCAAGTGCATCCTTCGATGACGTAACTACTGTGTTGACTACCTTGTGGCTTAAAGTGTTCCTGCTGGTTCCGGTGGCAATGAACCCATGACTTCCGGTAACAATAATTTCAGTGTTATCCTTGGTGTCTCGGGGCTTTTAAATGAGGTAGATATCTTATGTCACGCGTCTAATCCTTCAGTTATGGCATCGATTAGGGCCCGTGTTTGGTAATTTTCGGGATCAAAGACGTACAGACGTCTTCGGAAGATGATTTGACAGATGGAACAAATGATTTTACAAGAGCAGGAAATAGACAAGCTAAAATCAACTTGCACCGCCTTGTCCGATACCAATGATTATTAACTGTAAAATTCTTTGTATCAAGTGTTTGGTCTTCGAAAAGAAGGGAGATATAGTTCTATTGCAGAAGAAATGGTTTTTTTCGCAGTATTGTCATTCTGTTCGGGTGAGTAGGAAAACATATTCCTTCCCAGTCTCCCGTGATTTTCGAGGAAATGCGCATACACTACATGATTTTTGCATTGCGCATTTAATTTGGTTCTTAACGAAGCCAAAACTTCACATTGAGTGAAATATCGTAGCGTTTCACTTCCGATACTTTTAATCATTTATAATGCTGTTTTTGATACCTCCACCACCGCGAAAACATTTTCTTCAGTCGTAATGGATGTTGTTTTTTAGTCGTTATCCCTTCAGGGATTGTGGCAAGTAAGTTTGAAAATAATGTTTCCTTTGACTATTCATCGAATTATTTTGTTTCAGGGTAGTCGGCCCTGTTTGTTGTTTCTATCATATATCAAGAGTATTTGTCAATTCGCTCGTGATATTGGCCTTCTTAAGCTTTGAATATAGTTAAGGTTTCAGAGTGTGTATTATATACCTTACGTGAACCACAAGCGAGACTCTAAACTCTGCAGCTGTTGAGTGGTTTAAGGAACGTTTTGTTCACTTCGGTTGTGATCAGCTGGCAATTGGACATGAAAATGATATATTTAGGCTTCTTCGCTAGTGATGCAAATTATGACGCGAACGATACATTGGTAAAGTATGATTTTATCTTCATTTTTGTCTGGCATTGAACACAAATAAGTTTCTGTGAAATTAGATTTGGGCACCAGTCGATAACATATTGAAGAGTTACTTAACGACTCACACCTGTAACAACCTTCCTGATTAAGTGGCATTTGTTGTATGTTTATTTTAGTCTCTTTTCGTCCAAAATAATTTTTACGAAATTGTCGTTAACTATGCAAATTTGTGCCCTAAAGATCATCTATATGTATTGTGAAGCAATTAGGTATTGTGTGTTCATGAGAAGACGGCATAACTTTTGTTTTATTCAGTTTCATTCGTTCCTAAAAGACGATGATTGATTTCAGTTTTGTGAGATTCAAACCATCAAAGTCACCATTCGACAAAGATTCAAAGTGAACAAGACTGTGCCAGTCAATATAAATGTCACGAGCTGTATGTGCCAGCCAGTCTACAAAACAGATAATTAAGTCTATATATAGTTCAGGGGTCTTGAAAACTGAATCATTCTTGACAGTGCAATTTTCTATGTCAATTCACATTTGCAAAGTGAAAGTAAAAGCAGTTGGTTTTTTGTAGATTGCTCAGTTATTGCTTTGACCATAATGCTTATTTTGTCCACCATTGACTGGCACAGTCCCCTGCATGTATTTGTTTTGGCCATTTCTTACAGTTGGATGCAAATGCTAACTTGTAGAATTTTAGAATGAAACTGTAAATAAAATGTGTGTTGGTGTATAAGTGTGAGTTAGATGCTTTCTGAAATTTACATTTCTGGTATTATTTAGAACAGTAAACAGTTGGCAGCTATTTGAAAAGATCAATTTGTCACATAATGCTGAAGTGTGAATCATGTGAGCAAGTGGTTCACTGGTAATTGGTAACACTGCTTTAATTTGTCAATGGAAAGAAAAATGGTGAAATTTGACATCAACATTTAAATTGCTAATTTTAGAAGAGCTTCATGAAGTAATGAATCTTTATTGTTGTATGAAGGGTGAGTTTTCCTTGTTTCAAGTATGCCATTGTGTGGGACCATTCATGGTCTTTCTCCAAATAGAAAGAGAACAAGGTTTTCATACTTTTTTCCACTGCATGAAACTACTTGTCAAGCATGTTCATTTTATGGAAGATTCTATTGAACAACATTTTGCATTCAGCATGAGGCTGTGATAATGAAGTACTGTAGGACCCAGGGAAAGTGGTAACCAGTGTATGTTATATTGAGGCCCTCCATGCATTTTACTTTTTGACTGGGATGAGGATTGATGTTATTCATATAGAGGCAATGTTTAGAGAGGATTGTAGTATGGTTATATGAGTTAATTGAATTTATTCCTCTAATTTTGCCTTTTTAATCATTTGTTTTACACATTTAGAGAAGGTATGGGGCATGAATTTTAGAAGGCAAGATATTTCCTTATTAATTATCACTTTGTAAATTCCAATTTTTTTGTCACTCCTTCTCTTGAAGCATTGTCGTAGTGAAAAAGGTTATAGGATGGATGATAGTTACCTTTTGTATTTGAAATGTTTACCAATAATATAACTGTCTTTTATCAGGGATGGAAGAAGAAGACAATGGTGGAAGGTTAGAGGTTGGAGAAAAACCTTCACCTATCCAGCCTCCCTCTCCAAGGCCCCGCCCTGTGCCCCGTCCACGTAACCAAACCAAAGGACTCAGCAGTACAGAAATGAATGGAAAGCCTGTAATTACAGCTCCTAAACCTATGTTACCTCCAAAACCAAGACGCCCACCACCAAATGCACCGGCTGCAAAACCCCCTGTTACTAATCCGGGTGTTCTATCAAATAATAACGATGACGAGTTTCCAGTGGATGAAGGAGGTTCGACAAAACAACATTCAGTTACAGAGAAAAGTAAAGACAAATTATCATCCACTAACACAATGACTTCTGCAGATATCACAAACAGCACTGAAATGGAACATGTCAAAAATGGACCTGAAAAAGTAGACTCCACAGATGAACAGTGGTATCAGCCTCTAAGACCACAGCCAGATAGTGATGAGTCTAGCTCAGATGATGGTTATGAGAAATTACCAACAACAGAATGTAGTGAAGAAAGCAAGGCTACAGCCTCAAGGTCAGTTGACAACAGTGAACCCCTTAAACCCTAACATTAGTATTCAATATTCCCCTTACTGTTCTTCACACATTTCCTAAGTTGCTGACAAGGAGGTGTTGTTTAGCCTTCAAGAGCTTCTTTAGTTGGTGATCATTTCCTTTGTTCTTGTGACTGTAATGGGTGATTCACGGGTTGGTGATATTGTACTAAGGAAATCTCAAGTACTAGATGCTAGTCACTCTTACATGTAGGGATCGATGGGTTTAGGTGTGCCTTTAGAGTGAAATCCTGCACAGGAAGGGAAACTTGCAGTTTTGTTTTTTGAACTAGTTAGCTACTTTGGGGTATTTTTATTAGATATAGAAAAAAAAAAACTTTTTCCTTAAATTTTTACCTATCTTTTATCTGTAACATTGTGTACAATAACTTTATTTTAATTGCTAAGACAGAAAGTCATGTCAGGATATTTACCTTTATATACTTAAAAATTCAATATATGCATAAATGTTTCCTTGAATCTTCCAAGAAATTATCAGGCAATACAATGCACAATTTGTTACTTAAGGAGTTCTGATCAATTTTGGGTTAGATTTTCAGACGTGATGACTTGAGTGGGTCAGTTGGGAAATCCTCCCCACCTGTACCTGGCAAAGTTAGCAACTGGGATAGGAAAATATCTCCACCTGTCCAACGTAAAATCAGTGACCTTATTAACAAAATGTCACCCCGTCTACCTCATAAAAGTAGTGGTGTGGCTAGTGCAATCTCCCCACAGCACCCTTCTCAGAAAGCTGATGTGGAGAACACAAAAAATAGAAGAAATCTCGAAAGTTCAACTGCTGGTGAAAAGTCAAAGCCTTTGCCACCAAAGAAGCCTCTTCCTTCTTTTCCTAAAGGAATGAGTACTCCTGGTCAAAAGCCTCTAATGGGTGAACTCTCATCAAGTAAACCAACCTCACAGCAAAAACCTTACCTTGATTTATCTTCGTCACCTAAAACTGATCAGTCTCAAACATCTGTTGCTGCTCTTGCACAAAAGTTATCAACAATACCTGTATTTCCTTTTCGAGATGACACAGGTAGCAAAACAGGAGGGGCTGCATTTCCTTCACCTGTCACTTCCCCATTGTCCTCACCACGTCCTTCACCTCGTAATGCGACCTCATCTGCATCCCCGGACAAATCAAAATTTAAATCTGCAACAGTAATGGCAAAGGTCAGTGAAGTGGGAAAACCTGTGCTGTCTCCAAGACCTGGAACTTCACTGCCAAAATCCCAGAGTCAGGTCATATCTCCTGAACATGGTAAGGATATTAACCCTTTAACTCCTCAGATCGTATTGGTAATTCACCCCTTGTGCTGCTTTAAATTTCCATTTAAATTAGTTATGAGAATGTTGTATGAGATCAGGATAGCAACCTCTACTTGATAAGTTTGAGTACTCTCATTACCTGTTTGCTGGATAATGTATGGATATTGAAGTGGGAAGTTTCATTTTAATCACCTGGGGAGTAAAAGTGTTAATAGTTTTTCACTTGTATTTGTGATGATGGTATTTTTCTGTGATAGCATTAAATTCTCCATTCAGTAGATAAATGGTTCTTTTAACACGCCTTATTCTAGTCTGGTTTTAGGCTGAGAAAGTTTGCATTAATTAGCACAGTTTTCCTTTTTGAACCTAGTCCATGGAAAAGGTAAGTTGAATTGTGAGGAGTAGATTTGACAGAAATGGGGCCTACAATGCCCACAACTAGAGACTATGGTAGGAATGAAACAATTGTTTTTTAACCTACAACATTGTAAATTTATATTATGCATCCGGTGAATAGGGAAGGAATTAAAGAAGAATCGTCCAGAGCGACCCACTCCTCCATCAGCAAAGGCTGTTGCAAGAGTTAGGTCACAAACACTGGAAAATCTTGAAGAAGAGGAGAATTATCCATCTGATGAAGCTGTAAACAAGACACCTGGTTTGTTTCTTTGTTCAGATATCTTAAATGGTTCCATGTTAGTGATCAATACATATATCTTATTAGATGTTTTGTTGTGTAGTATGGCTAAGTATTTTTATTAGTTGTGCTGTATTTTGACGAGCCTGCAGGGCAAGTCAAAATACAAACAGTGAGTGAAAATTCTCAGTGATACTACACTACAAAACATCTAATAGGAGATTTATTATCCAACATGCCAAATTGTTATTTCAGTGTGGGCGAGTTTTGCGGATATTTATGGAGTACACATGATATTTTATACTTGTCTCCTGCATTATTTGTACTCTACAAAGCACAATTGGATAATAATATCAGTTATTGTTATCAGTATCTGAGTAACTTTTGGAATATCATTTCAAGGCCGTGCTAGGAAATCGTCTTTACCTGAACAACGCAAGAAAAGATTAGCTTCTCGTCCTCTGTCTCGGTGTGTAAACCCTCGCATTTCATCAGCTGATCTTGCACAAGCCAGTAGACGGCCTCCACCTCTTCCACCAGGAGCTACTCCTATAACTGAAAAACCACCATCACTGAAAGTGCCACCATTACCCGCAGTGCCACGCCCACGACCCATGTCTGCTTACCAACAGACAGCAAGAGATGCTCTGAAGCACACTGTGAGCAAGTCTGTGTCAGTAGGAGACATACCAAGAGTTACATCAGCTGAAGGTAATTATATATCATTACCCTCAGTGTAATATCTTTTGTCATTGTTACATCTACCTTGTGCTATCACTCACATACAAAGGGCTGTTCAAAATTTTCTGACCAAGTACTCATTTGAACATGAAAACAAAGTGTATAACTATAACATTCTAATGCAGCAATCTTTGTTTGCAGAGTTTTCTCCAGCTTGCAATTGAAAACAAACTTCTTTGTCTTCTGCCTCAAAATGCTATACCTCAGAATATATTATTATGTTATTATTCCCATCTGCTTAAGTTTTCCAGTTACTGAGTGATCCAGCTGCAAATGTTGACACAAGATATTGAATTCCATTAATCAGTCAATGACCTTTATCCACTGCTGTGGCTTGTGTTTCACATCAGATCCTAAACAATCAAAATGATTCACAACAGTATTGGATCTGCACCTGAACATGAATTTTGTTTTGTTAAATGATGCATGGTATTAACTCTAAAAGAATTTTCAAGATAAAAAGAAGTTGTAAGATAAACATTCATAAATATTGTTAAAGGTGAGTATTGATTGGAAGAATTAAAGTAATCCTTAGGTGTTTTCAGTCTCTCTTTGTGAGATTGCTCCAAAAGCTTCCAAATAGTCAGGGAATCGATTAGTACCTACATGTATAGGAGCAAGAGTATATAGTGCCATTACTGTTTTTTATTAATACTCTGTTACAAGTTCGTGTATTAATCTATGTAATACCATTTCCATCATAGAGGGGAGCCCATGTGAAGGCCACAGCATTTTCTTGTTCATAGTAATTTCCTAATGTAGGTAGTGCAATGTTTAACAGCTACAGCCTGTATATTTTTTATATCTCTTACTAGATCAGTCTGAGTACTGTTATGCCTATAACCTTACTTCTGTAGGAGGGATGCCACCCAGGCAAGCAGTTTCGCCTAATCCAGCCTCGTTTGTGGTAGACAGCGGTACATATGTGACACCTGATGAAAGCATTGTCAATGAGTTTATGCAGGATGTTTCAAAGGACAGTATATGTGCAACTTATGAGGTTGCGGATGAGCAAGCTGTGGCTGGACTTATGACCAGTTTAAAAAAGAAACAGACATTAAATGGATTGGCCGCTGGTAAGCTGACTTATTTATTCCAGGATAGCCTTAAAAAAAAACTCTTGCCATTGTTTCAGTGACAATAGGGCTGTAGACATGCAGATTTCTTGAAGGGAAAATGAAAACTGGTGTGTGTCATCATCCATTTTTCCATTTGGGTTGTGATTCTAGGAATGCCAAAATACATATGAGTTGTAATCAGCTGTTTTTCAGAGATGGCGATGTAGAAGTTCAATACTGTAACAGAAACTTTTGGCAATTTGTTTTTTCAAAAACAAAAACTCTCAGTTAGCTTCACTGTGAACCTGCCATTTTGTCCTCACCTCTATATTCAGACAAGCAGTCTCAAACACCTTTTTTCAGGAAACTGAGTCTATTATGCCATTATTCATACATGAAGCAAGACTGTTGTAATGTTTGAACATGTTTTTTGTAACAGATGTGAGTACAGATGACACAGAATCAGACTTGTCTGACAGTGATGATCATGAATACTTGGAGCCACCAATAGAACAAGGTGAAGAACAACCAGATCACCATGATGAAGATGATGATGATGGTACACATTTTCTATTTATGATGATAAAAAATTTGCCAGTGACTTGTACCAGTAATGGAGGTTTGGAATGGATTTACAATCAATTTCTGCAGAACTTCCCCAACTCATTTTCAGTTTCTTTTTCTTTGACTCTCATATACTTCCTTGGACCCATCTCTTGTTTATGTCTTTTGTTTGTTTTTCTAAGTTGAATACAAAACAATATCCTCACTGCTTTGAAAAGGTGTATCTTGTTACCTCAGCATTTTATGTATTTCTGGTTACTTTCTAAATTCCTTTTTTGTTTATCAACCTTCAGCTTCTTCAGAGAACTCATTTTCATCAGATTCATCGCATGAATATTGTGTTCCACCTGAAAACCTTCGCCCTCCTGAGCCACCCTCAGATGGAGATGAATATGATGAATTGGAAGGAATCTATGTGGAGGTAAAACATTAACAGTGAAATGGTGAAAAAGCAGTCATTAAATTACTTTCAAACATATTTTATTAGATTGATTCTCTTGGTTTTTTTTTAGCCTCCTGTCAAGTCTCCAAGTGACCCGTTTTCTTCAGGTACAAATATTTCAAAATACTAAATGTTGCAGCAGTAGAGATGTGTTTAATACAAGTTGACTAATTAACCCTTCAACTCTGGAAATGTGACTGTTAATTCCCTCCTTTAGTTGCTACACATTTCATTGTAAATTAGTTATGAGAATTTGGTGTTAGATCAAGATAACTTCTGACTGACAAGTTTTAGTATAATTATCACGTGCTTGCTGGTTAATGAATTGATATTATACGGAGAAGTTACATGTTAATCAGCTCTGATAGTTAGAGGGTGGAGTAAAATTATTATCAGAGCTCACTTGTAACTTGTCTCAGAGCGGAAATTATTCACAGCAAATTTGAAGGAGCTTGAAAAAGTTGTTACAGAGCTGTGATCATAAATACATGTATACATAATGGTTGTAATATGTGCTTATTGACTTAATTGGAGGGCCAGATGGGAAAATATTTGGCTCGAGGTGCGCTTGGTCCGTACGTCATAAACGAGAGCCAAATATTTTCCCGTCCGGTCCGACCCATCTAAGTCAATGAGCATTTTATTATATGACCACTGAATTAATTTTGAAAAATTTCGAAAAATTTGAATGTTCAACTTAACTAGGACGCGATGGACTGGTGCACGCGGGAAAACCTTAAAAAAGAGATTCTGCAACAAAAACCTTTCCTTTCTTTTTTTTTTGAGTCAAAACAAGAAAATCACAATTTATCGAAAAGTGTGACGTATTTCCTCATTTTTGTCCCCCGATGTCACTCATTTTTTGCAACAACAGCGAACAACGTTCCTTTTATTTTCTTTTCGAAAGAGCCGTACAAATGCACTAAGACTGGAGAGCTTTTTCCGGACCGACTCGCGTCATTGTAGGGCCGGATGGGTCATATGATATTAATTCTTTTATTTCCATTTTAGATGAAGAGAGAGACGGTCTTTCCGAAGGTTGGTGGATAATGTATTTTGTTACCATTCACGTATGTTCTTGGCTTTTTTTCGTTGAGCTTGCATTTGTATTTTGTTGAATGATTAAAGTAAAATCTTCAGAAAAAATATAAATGCATCCCTAGAAACCATTCTCACAGTTCCTGTATTTTGTATAAAAACTCCTCTGTCCTGTTGTTGGGTGTAGCCAAGTAACACTTCATAATTGTTCTACAGAGCCCTTATACCAAGTATACAACAGGCGCACTCTCCGACGTGAAAGAAATCTGAGTCGTCGCAGACTGAGCAGCGATGTGAGTGACTTGTCAGTAAATGATGAAGTAGAGGAGCTAACAAAAGGAACAATGAGGAACATGAGGATGCTGTGGTGTGAACTACCAGAGGTACTTTATTATCAAATTAATATTTATTGATAACTAAATTGAACTACTGGGTGACTTGGTTATACGGTTGTCCTCAAAGATGTGTTAAGAAGCACGGATGTAAGATTTTCTAGTAAAAAAGGAGATCCTTAGCTAGTTTTAAAAGAGGGTGTCCTTTGAAATTGTTTTAGTATAAAAAATAATTTATCAGTTCTTTTCAACCAAGAGGGGATTGACAGGGACATTTGAATCACCACTGAGCAACACCCTTCAAAGGAAATGCTGCAGTTTTTCTTTTGGTTTTGCTGTGTCTCCTGTTTTTCGTCTGGACTCCGAATTCACTGTTGCACATTCCCCTGTTACATGGAAAATGTTCAAATCTTAGGAGAGTGTTAGTTTAAATTCATTATTGTTCTTTGTCGACGTAAAACAATGTTTATTCTAGTCACTTTGATGATATATTTTCTTTTTTTACCTTTTTCCATCAGGTTAAAGCAAGTGGAATTTTAGACGGCATGAAATCAGAAGAACGCAAACGCCAAGAGGTTTGTTTCTTTGCACTAATAAACGCTATCTATAGAAGTGTAAAGTAAACAGGTTTGGTTCAGTAAGACTGGACTGCATATGTATGTAGAGCACAGTGGCATATATCAATACTTGGAAAATGTACCTGGGTGAAACTAACCGTTCTGTCTCACAAATGGTTATCCAGTTAAGAATTATTGGAGTTAGGGCTTTGGTGGCCTTATTTGAGTCCTCTAAAAGTACAATGTCGTTCAAAGGAGAAACTTTTCCAACCTACTGCAGCATAAATGTCAAATATTTTTTGCTCTTTCAGTCGTTCGAAATGTTACTTGTCACTTGAGACACTTGTGGTTGGCGAAGGTCATTGTATTGCTCTCATTCAATTGTCTTATGTCTTTTTGTAGGCCATGTTTGAGGTGATAACGTCGGAGGCAAGTTATCTCAAGAGCCTCAACATTCTAAGGTCACACTTTATAAACTCGGAAGAGTTGTCCTCAGGTTCCTCCCTGTGTGTTCTAGAACGAGGCCAGTCTCATGTGCTTTTTTCAAATATCAGTTCCATTAAAGCCGTTAGTGAGAGGTAAGTTTTGGACTCAAAGTATGACATTCAGAAAGTTGCTGAAGTGATACCCTTCGTGATTCATTTTGTAGTTTTTTGTTTTTTAGTATTTTCAGATTTCTTGTATACGCTACGGCGGCTGAGGCATACAAAAAGTGCAAATTTCTAAACACACATTCGTATCAGGCTACTCCGCTTCAGGTTAACAACCATTGTTATGATATTGGATAGGTTCCAGACTCCTGCGCGGGAGAAACCTGAGAATAAATCACGATGAGGTTGAATTCAGGGTTGCAGTTAGTTACCCAAGCTAATGACTACTCCATATTTCAGTTTCCTCCAGGCTCTCCGAGCACGTCAAAAAGAGGCTGTGGTTATATCATCTATCAGTGACATCATTGAAGAGCATGTAAGTGAAATGAAGCGTCCGCTACTTAAGATCTCTTACTGTCTGAAAAGAATTTGTTAAGCACGCTTATCGTATGAAATATTTCCATACACAGGCCACAAAATATTTCGAAGTCTATGTAAAATACTGTTCCAACCAGATCTACCAAGACAGAGCATTAAAAAATCTTAAGTAAGTATCATGATATGTTCCCCACTTATTGATACGAGTTGATATGCGGTTTAAAGTACTGGATGACGGAAATGTTCATGTGCTTTTTTAATGATTCGACGTCCCCCCGGCTATCGTTTTCATCGGAAGTAAGAGCGATGTTGTTTTTGTTGCAGGAAAAATGTGAAATTTCTTGAGGTAGTGTCGAAACTACAATCAAGTAATCAAGCGCAGGGTTTGACGCTACAGTCGTTTTTAGTTCTTCCCATGCAGAGAATAACACGGCTTCCCTTGCTTGTAAATGTAAGTATCAACTGTTATGATCATATATCACACAACCCACATTAGAACATGTCAACATACCGCGTACAGCTGGGCTGGATACGGGTTCACTTGTCGCTACTTTGATGTTCACAGATGTTGTTAAAACTTGAAATTTCTTCTATATCAAACATCCTGGGGGAAAAAAGCGATGTTTTGTTTCGTTGACATGTCTCTTTAGAATTTTCCGGGCCCCGTTTTCACGGAAGTAGCGTTTTTAATGATTTAAGGGTGTCAGTACTTAATCCTATTTCCCTGGAGAGGGTTGGAAGCTTCAGTGTTCAGTAAATACTCCCATTCATGCACCTATCTTAAGTAAACAGGGTTCAGGATTCTACCTGCCCCCCCCTCCTTCCACCTGGGCTGAAAGGAAACTCTCTATTGAATTGCTACCTATAGCACTTTGTTGACTTAATCCTTCTCTTCCAGGCGATTTGTACGCGATGTGAACCAGGCAGTGATGAGTTTGTCAAGTCAGACCGAGCTTTAGCTGCCATCAATAAGGTGAATTTACCTGTTCTCGATATGCTTTTATTTGATATCAAAAGAATTCCTTTATCGCCTTTTTTCTTTCTTCATGGTCAACAGGTGAATGATAGTTTTGATCTTTTTCAGATTGTGAATGACTGTAACGAGGGAGCCAGGAAAATGGAACGGATGGAAGAAATATGTGTTTTACAAACACAGATAGAGTTTAAAACGAAGGTGAGGATGCGCAACCAGTTCTTCTCTACCAACATGTTTGTGTATGATATTTACCTCCACGCAACTTGAATTTACCAAAGACTGTGCTCATCGAAGATTTGTTATCAGTACAATTTCAAAGCGAGGTAGCATGGAGGTGAGAGTTTGACACAATTTGTTTCTGTTTTTGTTTATCTTTAGCCCCTCGCCCTGGCCACGCCATCGCGTTATTTGCTCAGACGAGGTGACCTACTTCAAGTGGTGGAGGACTCCAAAAGTCCATTGAAGTTATTGAGACCCAAGTTTAGACCGATATACGTGTTTCTCTTCAATGATTTGCTGCTCTTGGCGAAGAAGAAGAGGTATCAACTTAGTTATACGTAGTTTTTATTATTTCGTTGAAAAACCGGCGAGGCGGGTCCTTTTTTCTGAAATCCTCTTTCTAAAACTGTTAGTTGTTATGTATATATTGGGAAGAAGCCCTATTTTTTAGAAGGGATTACCTACGAGGGCAATTGCAACTTGTGGCTCAAGTCTGAGTCTTCCCACAGACTTGCATTTTTGTACTTTTCCTGTGCATGTGATATGTTTAGTAAGCATCTTTGTGTTATTTAATGCTTTGTAACTCAAGGAGAAAATCTCACTTTGTTTTTTTTTTCTTCTAGTGATAATCGTTACTTAATCCAGGATTACGCCACACGCACTATGACTCAAGTTGATGACCCGCCGCAGGACTGTAACATTAATGTTGATCACATGTTCTCTTTGGTTTTATTGGAAAACTCCGAGGTGAAAACTAAAGAGTTCCTTCTCGCTGGCAACACTGAGTAAGTTGTTATGTCCAGTTATGTCTACCTACCAATACTCTGTTGTAATTTCTGAGCTTAGAACAATTAATTCTCCTATAAACATGCACTGTCTTGGTAAGGAATGGGCCTGTTTTGTTTGTCGATTAAATCACTCAGAATTAGAGTGAGTATTCAGCAAGCCTACTCAAATATTATCACTCACTCGACACGTTTCTCTCGTGTGTAACTGTTAAAACACAGTATCGCACGCTGTCTGTAATATCCGAGTACAGCCTGCCTTTATCATTCCTAGTCATTCTTTGTAACGTCAGACTTACTTTTTATTTCCCAAAGGCAGTATTCTTCATTCGATAGCTTTCAATTCTATTTTATTTTCTTATTTTCTATTCTTTTCCAATAGAACTGACAAGACTCGTTGGATGGAAGCGTTCAAACCCCCTGTAGCCGAACAAGAAGGAGAAACAGTTTATGCTGATTGGGGTGAATAAACTAGTTATCATATCACAGTAAGATTTCGACAATATTCACACACAGTAAGAGAGAAAGGCGACGAGATCACCAATTACAATCTAACATAAAGAAACATACTCTCATAATGGAAATTACACTAAAACCGTTCACATTGATTAAGACCTGAGTACGAATTTGTACTTAATTTGTTTACAGACTGTCCACAAGTAAACGCTCTTCACAATTACACTGCTCAACAACCCGACGAGCTCTCTCTTTACGAAGGTGACGTCATCAATGTCTTGAAAAAGCTCCCGGATGGTAAGTACAAGTAAATTTTCCCGAGTTATATCAACATGAATAGAACTTAGTTTCCTTTTGTTTCCATTTGTTTCCATTTGTTTCCATTTGTTTCCATTTGTTTCCATTTGTTTCCATTTGTTTCCATTTGTTTCCATTTGTTTCCATTTGCGTCGCCTGTTAATTTTATCGGTAGTCGTCCTCATAAATCGTTTTATGGTCCCTGTCAGGGTGGTATCATGGAGAGAGGTTATGTGATGGAACTCAGGGCTGGTTTCCAGCCAATCATACCGAAGAAATACTGAATGATCACGTCCGGGCCCGAAATTTACGTCAGCGGTATAGACTGCTAGCAGCTTCTCAACATTTAATTGGTGGAACATTAAGGACATAATTATCCTTGGAATGTTAAAAATTTTGAATTTTAGTCTCAATCGTGTTTCCAAAATTCATTTATATTATGTAAATAGTGAAGCCAGAATGTTTTTAGCTAAAATACATATTTTAGTACAATATTTTTATAGCAGTAGGATTTCTGCTTGTTTTTACCAGCCTATGACTATATATTTTTTGGAATTAAGTATAATTGTTTTCTACTTGATGGAAGCGCAGTAATGTTGCTGGAACAATTGATCCTAGGTGTACAGTTTTGGATTCGATTTCCTTCCTCTAATTAATAACGAAGCCGAGTTTAATTAACGTCAATCAGCAAATTGAAATGTTCAGTAGAATATAGAATAATTGTTTGAGGCCTGGGTATGGTACCAGGAATGAAATGAATAGACAACGCACAAACGCCTTTATCACTGCGTATCAAATTCTTACTTTTTAATGGTATGATGGATGTATGTACGATGAAAATGAATTGTTTTTATTCACCCCGTCATCATATACGATGAGTAATTAGGGGACGGAGAATCTGTTTTCCAGGATGTCCGCCCCCTCCCC